GCCGGTTCATCCCTAACTTTTCCTCTTTAGCCGCGCCCCTTACAGATCTCACACGGAAAGGGCAACCCGAAAGGGGAAGGTGGCCCCCAGCCTGTGATGACGCATTTCGAGAATTAAAAGACCGATTGGTACGCGCCCCGGTGCTAGCACAGCCTGATTTTAATAAGCTTTTCACCCTACAGACCGACGCTTCCGAAGTGGGTCTGGGGGCGGTACTGACGCAAGAGGAGGGAGGAGAGGAACACCCCATCCTCTATTTAAGTCGTAAACTCTTCCCCCGGGATAGGGGGTATGCGACAGTCGAAAAGGAGGCCTTGGCCCTCAAATGGGCTATCGATTCACTGAGGTACTTTCTTTTAGGCTGGGGGAGTTTAGGGTTCTCGCCCCCCCCCCGCTAGGTGGGGAGTCTTTCCCTGACCTTAGGGCCCTGGGTCGGGGTCCGGAGCGAGGGCGGGCCCGGACCCCCTTCCCCCAACCGCCGAGCTGAACCGAGCAAAGCCAGGCGAATCGGGTCGCTAATGACCGTGGAAACCGAGGGGGGCGGACGTAAGCTCCTCCGCACGGGGGAAACCCCTACACCAACTCATGTCCTAGCTTGACTATATGGCCTTCAATTAGATGAGCTTGCAGGTGGCCTTTGGCTAGTGTCTCTATGGCTGCGCTCAGGAATGGAAGGCTTGGTACAGGATCGCATGGCAAGAATCATGTATGCAAAGTAGAGTTCTTCAGTATTGGTAGGGTTACTGCATGTTTGGAGGAGGAGGGGAATAAGGCATTGGCTTACTCCCTGAATAAGGCATTGGCTATTGCAGTCGTCCCACGCAGGACTAGAGGTAAATGCACATGCAAATCTTAAATCCTCCATGTGGAGGGTGAAGAGATCTTGGCAGGTGCCATTAAATAATTGTTTGTTTAAATCTGAATCCTGCCAGAGGGATCGGGTCATCTGGCTTCTAACGTTAGCACCAGGGAAATAGCAGCTCATTAGCAGAGAAGGGTAAACCTTTTCTAGCCTATGGTTTACTAGCATCTGCTCTCCAGCTAGCACATTTTGTACCTAGAGACCTATACCTGTTTTACCAGCTGAGAGATTAGGATCAAATGCAGAGGGGTGGGGGAGGGGGCAGGGTGTGCTCTGGAGTGCGTGGTGCAGGAATTCCTGAACAAGGTAGATTTTATGCAAATACATGAGTGTTCTGTGAACTTGTAGCTCAATTTTCCAGAGACAGGCCAGGAGCTAGCCTGTTGAAATGAATCCTGATTTTCCATATCTCCATGCTCTTGCAGGCATTAGCTATGGCTTCTATAGGAGCCAATGGGTTCTCTTTCAAAAATCGGGGAATAACATTCTGCATTTCCATGCTAATGGGATTGGTGATTGTGACGATGAGTCGAGGTTCCTCCGATCCTGCAGCCCCGTAGCAGCAAGAACAGACTCCACCAGCCAGCAGAATAGAGGGGGTTTAATGCTTCTCCAGGATACAGCACAGCACAGACATGATGTGTCGACCAGGATGCCTCAGCCTCCTTGAGATGGGGTCTCTGGGCCCCTAGATTCCAGCCCCTCCTTTGTCTGTTTCCTTCATGGTTCCAGCCCAAGACTGACCCTTCCCCCAACACTCCCTTTCTTTGTTTCATCCCTTCCCTTAATGGGTAGAACCGGTTCCGTCACTGTCAGGGGGGCTCTCAGGATGCCCTCCGCTGGGCAGTGCTTACAGACAGAGGCCGGTAGGGGTCATCTGCAGAGCTGACACTACATCACAGTGATTATGCTATACTCCCTTTTCCCAAAGATAACTAGCCCTGTCCCTCTGTTCTCTGCGGAAATGGTAAATAGAGATGAAAGGGAACATTTTCAAAAGTGCCTACGTGCCTTCAAGCCAGGCTTTCAAAAGCAGCCTAATGCTTAGAGATGCACGTGGGCACCTGATGGAATTTTCAAAGGCAGGGTAGATGCTCTGCTCTCATTGACTTCACTTTCAATGGCTGTTAGGCATGTAACCTGTTTGGATGCGTTTGAAAATCCCACTGTGTGCCAAGGTGCATTGTTCGGTGCCTAAGCACCTTTAAAAATCTTCCTCTTTGCAATGTAGGTCTCACTGAACGTCAGAACAGGCTTACATACTCCTGAGTTGCTTAAGCACTGCTGTAGTTTGACCTGGACGCTGAAAACCAAGGGCTATTCCATGATTCTTTCCATGGTGTTAAAAGATATGTTGGTGGTGCTGGCTCTGCCAGGAGGAGTGGGAAGGGTATGGTGAGCTGACATACACAATAGCAGCAGAAAGATTGGTTTCTTATAGAAAAACTGGACAGAATATAGAAGTTGCATAAAAATTCTTTAATTCAATCAATACTTTAGGAAACAAGAATTTCCCCATTCTCAGGAGAACACTATAGTTCCTGTCATGTCCTTACAGCAGGGGGAGTCAAGAGGTGACAGTGGGCCATATCTTGACTGCAAGATGCTTTTAGACAGCCCCCTAGATCTTTTTATGTAGTTATTGCTAACAGTATTGTTGGGGGGCTTGTTATTTTTGTCTGGAATCTGTACCTTGATTAGATTTTCAACAAGAAATTTGGACCTTGACACAAAACAGACTGTCTTTGCACAGTCTTTGGGCCTCCATAAATAGTCTTAGGATTGATGTGATAGTGAAAATAGCCTCTTGTTTTCAGAAGCTCCTTTTCACTTCAACTACAGAGTGAATTTTAAATAAATAAATTAGAGAAATAGAATGGTCTAGATAGTGTTTTGATTAGTCTACAATCATTATAATGCATAGATTGTTGGAGTGCTTGCAGGTCATGCGTACAATTTTATGTTCACCAGGCCCGAGTACAAGCATACCTACACAGAGAGGTCTGTGCCTACAAACAGAGGTATGCATTTAGTTTCAAACACACAGTTGCAGTCACAGCATCAAGTACAAACTGTTCCCCTCTTTCTTCTTATATGCACTTCTGTGCCACCCTTCCTTTCCTCTCCTGGCACACTCAGAGCAAACACGGAATTTACAGGTAAAATCTGCGCTCTGATAGGAATGCCTAGTACTGGGGAAAATTTCCCACTGGTTCCCAAGAGAAAGGTAGCCTGGGGATCCCAGCAAAAGTTGCCCAGCATAAGGCTATATCTTGTGCACACAGTAGAAAAGCCAGAGAATTCCGTTGTTAACGTCTGGGTGCTTGGTTTCTAGAGGTTGTGTCTGATCCAGTACATCACAAAAGCTTGAGCAGATCAAGCTGGTGGTCAGAGTGAACAATATTCTGCTCCATCAGAGACCGCTCGTGGTTCCATTTGTCCATATTATTTACAGGCAGCTGGTGACGTGCTGTTTGCCCATACTGGAAAGTGGTTCAAATCAAACAAGGAGAAGCCCCAGGTGTGTATGGCTAACATGATTGTCAGGACACCCAGAATGTTGAGTACGCTCCCGGCTTTAGCCTAGAATTGTAAAGAGACGGTGTCATTGGCTGAACTAAGGGGATGCTTACACTACACAGGTTTTAGCAATGGCCATGGCATGAAAAGTCAGGCAGACTAAAAACTGCTTGTCAGCACTGTTGCCAACAAAAAGCTTCCATCCCTTCGGAGTGGCATTTGCTTTGTGGGCAGGAGAGCCTTCCAGCTGACAAAGCACTTTTAACACTAGTATTTGCCAGTGATTAAGCACCTGTGAATGGGCAAAGTTTTGTTGTTCTATTGCCAGTATAGACAAGGCCTAAGTCTGTTCCTGATCAGCAGTAGGAAGCTTGGATGGATGGCTTTTGGGCAGGGGTCTCAAACTCACAGGCCATCTATGGCCCAAGCAGTTCTACAATCCAGCTTGTGTGTGGCTGCCAGCACGAGTCCTTGCAGCCCTTTGTACTCACTGCAGCGGCAGGAGCTGTGGCGCAATGCAGCAGCCTCTGCTCCACTCCACCTCCATCTCCCAAGCCCCCCGGCTCGCTCTGCTTCACTGCCAGAAGGCGCTGAAGCCCCACTGTGCTCCTTGGGGTGGCGGCAGGGACTCCTGGGAAATTTGCCCAGAGGCAGCAGGCAGGACAAAGGGTTCCGGGGGGGGGGGGGAGTGCATAGAGGCCCAACCCCCAGAATCCTGCCATAGGGGGACGCCTGCCAACCCCCTAGGAGGATGTGAGGACTAGTACAGGCCCTAAGGTAAATTGAGTTTGAGACCCCTGCGCTTGTGGGTTGATTTGTAGATTCTTATTCTAGCACCCAGGCTGGGCAAGGTATCTATCTGAAAGCCTGGGGGTGATGAACGGCTCGGCTTTGTGCTGGGAAGCTAAAGGCCCAGGTGGGGAAGGGGATGTCGATTTCAGAGCTCTCGGTCCCTGTAGCAGTGTGCAGGATAAAAGAAACAGCCTCTGATTGGGGCCTCCTAAAGGCACCTCACACAGCTCTCAGCCTAGGGGGAGGCCTGGGATGACTTTGCTGCCTTTGCTCTGTGCCAGAGGCTAGAATGTCCCCCGGTGCAGTGCTCTGGAGCTGTACATGCTGTGTGCTGTGGCCTCTCTCCCAGCCCTAACAGCATGCCCCCTAGAGTAGTGTTTCTCAACTATGTTTTATAAAGTACCCCTTGACAAAAAATTATCAGCACCCTCAAGACTTACAGTTTTCAGATACAAGTTTTTTTCTACCATTGAAACACATTTGTTTAAACAACTTAATCGTAGCCAGGTGGGTGATGAAATTGTTGGGTGTAAAAATACAAAAATAATACAGCGCTGTAAAACGTAAAACAAAAATTCCGTTTTCTCCAAATTTCAGTTGTTGACGTACCCCCCCGACTGCTCTCAAGTAATCCTGAGGGTACTCGTACCACTGGTTGAGAAACACTGCCCTAGAGCAGGTGATGTGAGAGACCTTTGCATGCAATCTGTGGCTGTGTTCCTCAGTTCCTACCCTGGGGAAATTCTCCTCCATCTTGCTCTGGAAATTTTAGAACCCCATTAGGCAGCTCTGGGCCTTTGGTCTGTCAAAAATTAAACCCAGGGGCTGTGTCTAAACTGGCCAGTTTTTCCGGAAAATCAGCCGCTTTTCCGGAAAAACTTGCCAGCTGTCTACACTGGCCGCTTGAATTTCCGCAAAAGCACTGACTTCCTACGGTAAGAAATCAGTGCATCTTGCAGAAATACTATGCTGCTCCCATTCAGGCAAAAGTCCCTTTTCCTCAAAGCTTTTGCGCAAAAGGGCCAGTGTAGACAGCTCAGGTTTGTTTTCTTCAAAAAAGCCCCGATCGCGAAAATGGCGATCGGGGCTTTTTTGCGGAAAAGCGCGTCAAGATTGGCCACGGACGCTTTTCTGGAAAAAGTGCTTTTGTGAAAAAGCGTCTGTGCCAATCTAGATGCTCTGTTCCAAAAATGCTTTTAACGGAAAACTTTTCCGTTAAAAGCATTTCCGGAAAATCCTGCCAGTCTAGACGCAGCCAGGATGTTTAATTTCAATACCACTTTTTTTGCCTGTAGCTGATGTTAAATCACCCAACCCTGACCATTAATTTGGCTTTCCTCCCAAGGCCTCATTCAGAATAAACTGGGCCCCATACCATAGCTGAGCAGAAGCCTTTGCTTATTTTTTTGGATGGGGCTAAGTCTTATCAAAGACCTGGAATCCCAGCCACACACTTACATAGACCTCTCTTGATTTGGCATCTGAATCTGATATTCACGCGGGGACATGGGTGGCTGGTATGCTAAGTGGGGGAAGGCATTGGCCCCTCCCACACTTCACCCCCAGCATCCTCCTTCCAGTGCTCCAGGCCCAGGGAGGCTGGAACTGAAGATCCTCCTCCCTCCCCATGTTCTGGGGGCTGGAAAGGCTGGGGAGGCTATCCACCCTCCCCATAATCTGGAGCCAGGGAGGCTGAGGACACGCCCTCTTCCCTCCCCATGCTCTGGGGCCGGGGAGGCTGGGGCCATGTGCAGCTCGCCCTCCTCCCTTCCCTGTGGTGGCCTCCCCCTGTGGGAGGGGGGCATGGGCATGGGGGCAGTTTGGCTCCTGTGGGGGGGGGGGACCTCATCAGAAGGGGTGGGGCTGGGGCTTGCTTCCCCCAGCCCTACCTTCACCAACCACCCATGTTTGGGGAGAGTAATTCCGGGACCTCATATGTCAATTATAAAGATATCCTCCTCTTTTTGTGCTCTCTTGAGAAAGGGCATCAGTTCAGCCCGGGCGGAATGCACTGTGGAATGCACAGACAGCAATACAGACGCTTGTGCAAAAAAGTGGTTTGATAAGAACCCTTTTGCCAGCCCCACGGTTTGCATTTCGTTTATTTGCACGGCTACACCCTCCCATTTCCCATCAATGCCCTGTTGCTACGGACACACCCAACAAGACCTTTCCCTGCAGTGTCACTGGCTGTTTTCCAAGAGCTGAAGCGCTCATGGTTCTGAGTGTATGTCCCTGCCACAGTAGCCCATCAATGTACAAGTCTATGCTCTGTATTCCATTTGAGTTTAGCAGGGTACAGGCTGTTCTGTAATCGCTTGTCAAGGGAAAACTAATAGCAAAGCAAGGAGACAGGCAAAGAACAGTGTAACTGGCAATCAGAGGGGCCTGCTGCTCACCATGTCGATAACCTTGAGCTGTCCATAGGAGAAAGCAATGGCATTGGGAGGAGTGGCCACGGGGAGCATGAACGCCAGGGATGCTGAAAGTGTGCAAGGCAGCATGACGTAGAGCGGATTGAGGCAGATGGCTTGAGACTGTGTAAGAGGTGAGAAGAAGGTGACATCTTTAATACCAGCAGAGTGCATAGATGTAGCACTGACGTGTGCTCCACCCTTCCTTTCACAGACACCCTCCGTCCTGCCTCAGACGCTTCCAGTCACTCCCACAGGGTCCCAGCACCCTCGGGCCCTGGTCCTGCTTGGGACATTTGGCCACCACTCTCATATAAATTCAGCGGCGGATATAGGGCAGGAGGAGCGGGGTGGCTGCCCCGGGCCCCGCACTTCAATAGGCCCCGCGCGTGCTACTTCCGGTCGGCTGCTGCCGAGGTGCATGCGCAAAATTGTGCCTCCCCGGGCCCCACGGCACAGCCCTGGGCCCCGCAAAATTATCATCTGCCCCTGTATAAATTAATAACAATATCACTGTTCAGTCCAGAATTGGTAAATCAATGAAAACAGTCATCAGAATCCTACATCCAGAGCTCAGTAAACAGCTCCCTTGAAGGAAAGAGCTCCAAACGCTCAGGGGAGATATTTGGGTAAGCGAGAATTCTGCTCTCTCCAGTGAAGCAATTACAGGTTACTCCTACTGTTCAATGTCTGAACCAAAAGACATCTGGTGACTCTTATTCCACTTCCGCCTGGGGCATGATTTTAACCTCCATCCTAAATCTGCCCTTGGGAAGGCAACAGTTTTCTCCTTGTAGTTAGTCTCAGTGGCGCTGCAAAAGTTCGAATAGACCAAGGAGACTGACGTACATGGTCACTGTAGAGGTGACTCTGGAGGGTCATGAGGAGATACACTGATGTGCTGGCATTGGGAAGTTCACGCTGCCGCTGCCATTGCCTTTCCTGTGACTAAGGGCACATCTACACAGCAGCCCTAAACATAAAATAAGCTACGCAACTTGAGCTATGCTAATTGCATAGTTTAGGTCAAAATAGCTTATTTGAACTTTTGGCGCTGTCTGCACAGCAGTCATCTCAAAATAGAGAATGCTTCCTCCGACTTCCCTTACTCCTCATGAAATGAGGTTTATGGAAGTCAGAGTAAGAAGCCTATTATTTCAAATTTATTTCAAAATAATGGGTTTGCTGTGTAGACATGCACTATGTTATAAATAACACTGCTGTGTAGACATTGTCTAAATGGCCTTCAGTCTCCTAACTTCTCAATCCTATTATTTTCACCTGCATACGCTACTTTAGAAAGAGTGACCATAACATCTAGACTATATGTGATATCTACATTTCAAGGGCATGAGCCTGTGGTTGGCTTGGTCAGATTTTGTGCATAACTGAGTAGGTTTGTACGTGGAACATGATGGAAGGTCCTGTTGCTTTTCCTGCAGAAGCAGTCTGAAAAGGGATGGGACTTACCATGGAAGCCAGTATAGGAAGGAAGAGAGTGGTGGTAGCCACATTGCTGGTGCATTCAGTGAAAGTGGCAATCAGGAGACACAATAGCAAAACAATAGCTGGTGGTGAGATATTCTCCAAAGGAGCCAGTTTGCTACCTAGCCATGAAGACAAACCAGATTCCTGAAAGATAGAGATGGAGAGCGGTCCGTTAGCACAATGGACATGCAGATCAAGTTCTTGAGCAAGTGCCATATCAGAACTACACTCAGTAACTATATCCCCAGCCAACTGCCAATTCCTTCTTATGAGGTTCCAGACTGCTTACTGGAGAAAAGCAAATCATCTTTATTCCCAGGCAATAGACCTCAATGCAATGAATAAGACACACACACACACACACACTTTTTCCATCATAAAGCCACTGAGAGGGAAAGAATACAGCAAGGTCCTTTCTTGGTCTAAAGAGGTTCACCACAGTATTCAGGGCATTAGTTAGACATGACCACAGCTTAGATCTGTCTCCTTTCCAAACTACAATCTCCGCCTATCTTTCTAACAGGCCCTTGTGAGTGTCCAGCTGCCACTTCAAAGCAACATAGTCAAAAGTGAGTTCCGAACCTTCCTCCTTCCTCTCTCAGTGACTATGGCCAATGAGCATCCAGCCTGTTACTCAAGCCTGCAAGTTGGATCAGTTTTGACTTGGCTGTCTCTGTAGACTCAACACACCCTGGCAATGTCTATATCTTGCTACTTCTTCCTGAATAACATCTCTATGATCCAGCCTTTCCTCAGTCCACACAGCTCAAATTTACACACATTCTCATCTCAGATCTTGACTATTACGACCCCTTCCTTTCTGGACTTGACAAACGCCATCCTGCCCCTTCAGCTCCTCCAACTCCATTAAAAGCACATTCACAAAGGTGATCTTCTTGCTGTGTTACTCTGACCAATCATCTCACTCTGCCGCATTCCCTCTCCCCAATATCCTTTGTAGCCTGTTACCACCTCTTACACAGCATGGAGCCACCAACCACCTCTTCTGGACCACCAGTGATGCAAGTCCTTCTTTTTCATGAGACTGCTCCATAGACACCTCCTTATTTTCTCCTATGCCATTTCTGAGGCATGAGGTAAATTTCCCATGAAATCTGCATGATACTATATTTTCCTCCTTCACAACTCACCTTAAAAATTCACCGCTGTGGCAATGCCTACAAAACTCAACAATAACCCATCTGTTTGATGTGCTGTGACTATTGCTTTACTACACTAATCATCATCGTCACTGTTTCCTTGTGCTTTGGCCCATCACCTTTGTGATATATCTGCCCATTCTATCGTGTTATATGAGCATCTTTTTATCTGTGAGGGCAATGCCTAGGAAACTGAAGTCCTAATCTTCAACTGGGGCTTCTGGTTGTTACTACAAAAATGTACAAGTTGTTAGAAATTGTGCTTTCTTATATTCAATTACATTCAGTATCTTATTTTTTAAAATCAGTTTTCCAATGTTTAGTTTCCCAATTTGAAGAGAGAAACAAGTTATCCATGGTTGGCCCATCAGCTGCATTTATTGCTACTCGTTATGTTCTCCTAATCGCCAGGAAAAAGCCTTCTGATTTACTCTGCACCATGTTCTCCCTTCTTCCTCCTTTTCTTTTCTGTTCCATTTCACGCTTGCTAACAAATGCACATGATGATGCAAGTCCCTCCAGCTGTGCAGCTTCTGTTCAATGGGAGGCATATGACTCAGGTGGCCTGCAACCCTGCTGGCTGCTAGGTGGCAAGGTTGCATTGCCTAGATACTGCACTGAGGAGTGAAGAACCCTGAGATCCTTTGGAATCCCATCATGGGCAGATCTTATCTGCCTGAGCCACCTCACACCTTGGAAAAACTTGGACCCATGAATCATCACTGAATTGCATTTGTTGATGTGTTTGGCCCTTCCCTCACGAGTCCCCTTCTCAGCTGTTCTACTTCAGGAGCAGTGTCCCATTGTCTGCATGCAGCACTAATAGACTCAGGAGTGAGCACTGCACAAGAGACATGCCCCTAATGCTGATCTCCAGCTGAGAGAGAGGGCATTTGGTGCTACTCGAGTGCCCTCTGGTGCTCTACAAGGGTGCAAAACAGGAACAAAATGAAGTGTCCAGTTAAACAAATGTTTCAGGTCATCAGACACAGGAAGATACCTCGCTGCCTTTGGCTAGGGCAAAGCCACCGCCCAACAAAATCACAATGTTCCAGGGCATCTTCTGATTAACCGTCTTCCAATCCAAGAGAGCAGGGACTACTCGAATCTTTCTGCTACCTAAAATACAAAACCAATCTGTGAGCCACAGGAATGCAGATCACATCCAGGGATCATCTCTGTGTAACGCCAACAGGTGGAACCAAGCCTGGGATCTCTGGAGCTTAGCTCATGAGTCTCTACTACTTGAGCTAAAAGCTAGCTGAATCTCAGATAAGGCTGTAGAGCAGGCATGTCAAACTCGAAGCCTACTGAGGGCCGCACAAACAAAACCTGATAGCTTTCAGGGCCATCTAGGGTTCCCAGATGGTTTGTCGAGGGGCGGGAGGGGGAAGCACAGTTTAGGTGCCAGGCAGAAGGCACCAATACCGGACACCTGGCAACCCTAGGGCCATCAAAGAAAATGGACTTTGTCAGAAAGTCGTAGTTATCTATTATTATAGATTATGTTTTAGGTATATTTTATAATATTACAATAATTTGATGTGTAAAATTATTTGCTCATATTAAATAATTTTAAATTAATTTTACATAATTTTTAATTTAAATATAAATTTAAGGTACTTTTATATTTTGTATATGATACATAACTTGTTTTGTTGAAATAAAAACAAGTATAGACCATAGTTAATCAAATAGAAAAGGCTTCTGTGAAAATTTCAGATACTCTGTAAGTTTGAGATTTTGCGTAAAGATATAATTATTCATGGAATTTCAAAAAATTCATATATTTATTGATATAAAATGAATATACATTTTGAGATTTTATTTGGGAATAAATAAATTAAACAAAATATTAACAAAATAACTCCTTCTTCTCCCCTAGAGCCAGGCACTCCCATACCCCTGTACTAACCCAACCCCCCTTCGGTCCCCCAGAGCCAGGACCCCCCAACCTAATGCCTCCACCCTCCCCAGAGCCAGGCATTCCCAGCACCCCCAACCTAATGCCTCTCCTCTGCCCCAGAGCCAGGACCTGGGTCCCATAGTCGATGTTGCTGCCTGAGGCGCTGGGGTGGCATGAGCACAGTGGCCAGTGGGAGCAGCTGCTGGAGAGCCCAGCGCAGAGCACCCAGCCAGCCGTCGGCACGTGCGCAGAGCAGCCCAGCCGGCCGTGAACAGTTGCTGCGGTGCAGAGCAGCCCAGCCGGCTGTGAGCAGGCACTCGGCCACATGCTCCAAGTGGCCAGCGGGCTGCACTTCATTCTTTTATAAAAATGTTATGGCAGGCCACAAAAAACTTTGATTGGGCTGCATGCGGCCTTCCAGATGCCTGTTTAACATGCCTGGGATAGATGGATCTGTGCTTTTTCCACAAATCCTTTCCTTAGTGCTAATGTAAGTGTTACTATGGTCAATCTTTCAGAGTTCAAATTAGTGGGTCGAGAAAAGACCCGCTAAATTGAATTCAGAGGGCGCCCCTGTTGGCACTGGCACTTCTGCTCCTTGTGAGGAGTAAGGCAAGCTGATGGGAGCATTTGCTCCCATTGACCACCCGCTGTGGAAACTGCACAGAAACTCAACCCCAGTTACATAATTAACATAGATGAAGTTGTGCTGACAAATAGCATCAGTGCCACAATGTAGCTCTCCTCTCTGTTCAACACCCTGGCTTAGCTGAGGTTTTGTACTAACACACACAACACTACTAGGCTGTGTCTACACTGGGCCACTTATTCCGGAAAAACAGCCGCTTTTCTGGAATAACTTGAAAGCTGTCTACACTGGCCGCTTGCTTTTCCGGAAAAGCAATGACGATCTACTGTAAAATCATCAGTGCTTTTCCGGAAAAACTATGCTGCTCCCGTTCGGGCAAAAGTATTTTTCCGGAAAAACTATTCTGGAAAAGGACCAGTGTAGACAGCACAGTAGTCTTTTATGCAAAAAAGCCCCGATCGCGAAAATGACGATCGGGGCTTTTTTCTGGAAAAGCGCGTCTACATTGGCTACAGACGCTTTTCCGGAAAAAGTGCTTATCCAGAAAAGCATCCTGCCAATGTAGACACGCTTTTTCCGGAAATACTTATAATGGAAAACTGTTCCGTTTTAAGCATTTCCGGAAAAGGGTGCCAGTGTAGACATAGCCCTGGTGTTTGACACCTGTAAAACTTCCCAACTCTTGCATCTCCTTGTAGTGGAGAGCTGGAGTTAAGGGGAGGGTGATCTACCAGACTGTGGAGTTGTCTCCAAAAGGAAGCAATGGAAGCATCATCATTAAAACTTTTAAAATTAGACTGGACAAAACACTATGGAAGAGACTGTGTAGAGAACTTGCTCTGGCCCCAAAAGGTGGGAGAATGGACTAGATGTATAGGAACATGTCCTCAGAGCTAGTCAGTATTCTCCCAGGGTCTAGTACATCTCCTCCTAGACTCTTCCGCTTCAGCAGTTATGAGACATGCATATAATGTCTTTGATTAGACGTGTCTCATTTAATTAGCATACCAGAAAGAGAGCCATGCTGTGATCAACCAACTGCACGGTGGAGAACATATAACCCAAATCCTGCAGGAATCCTTTGCAGACACACGCCCAGCACTGCCCTTTGGCTCCTTGAATTGTTCAGTGTTTGAAATTGCCTTTGTAAAGCCAAGAGGCAGGGAAACGCTTGTGTTCTATTGTGGCACCTGGACTGTGACTTGCTGAGTTAGGTCTTACCTTGCTGTTGTGCTTGCTGAGTCCTGTTGCGACAGAGATAAATGGGGATCTCTGAAGGAATTAGGAACATCAGAAGTGAAATGAAGATGACAACTGTAGCATCAGTCACATAACTGCAAGAGATTGATCCAGAAATGACTCTACTGAGTTTGGCAAGGATACCGAAGGAGCAAGGGCTGCACAATCTGGCAAAATTACCCCTAGAAATGGCATGGTCCTACCAAAAGGATAGGCCCCAGAATAAGCAGGATTTATCCAGATGGGAACAGAGAACCAATGTACTTTGAGATGAGAAGTCCAGGTCCTCTCCCATGTGCCCATGTTGGATCTCTAATGTTCAGTGTTTGGCTGATATTTGGTGAGGATGGAAAATCGTAGACTATTAGAACTGGAATGGACCTCTTGAAGGCATCAAGTCCAGTCCCCTGCCCTTACAACAGGACCAAGTATAATCGAGACCATCCCTGATAGATGTCTATCCAACCTGCTCTTAAATGTCTCCAGTGATGGCAATTCCACAACCTCCCTAGGCAATTTATCCCAGTATTTAACCACCCTGACAGGAAGTTTTTCCTAATGTCCAACCTAAACCTCCCTGGCTGCAGTTTAAGCCCATTGCTTCTGGTCCTAGCCTCAGAGGCCAAGGAGAACAATTTTTCTCCCTTCTCCTTGTGACACCCTTTTAGATACTTGAAAACTGCTACCATGTCCCCCCTCGGTCTTCTGTTTCTAAAGAAAACAAGTCCAGTTCTTTCAGTCTTCCCTCATAGCTCATGTTCTCTAGATCTTTCATCATTCTTGTGGCTCTTCTCTGGACCTTCTCCAATTTCTCCACATCTTTCCTGAAATGTGGTGTCCAGAACTGGACACAATACTCCAGTTGTGGCCTAATCAGTGCAGAGGAGGAGGAGGAGGAGGAGGAAATACCTTTTGCCATTCTGGTTGAAGATATTAGTTGCCCAGCCTGCCATGAACCCAGGGTCCCTGGTAAACCAAAGCACCACCAGTAATATGAAGAGGATTGTGACAGCAGTCTCTGAAAATTTCATAGGGCCCAGTTTTTTGTGCTCATCCTTGATAATCCCGTAAGCCATTCGCTGCTTTGCTTGCATAGCGACATTAGCTCCACAGCCAAAATTCTTTCGGATGCTGGAAAGAGAGAAACAGATGTCACAGCAATTCCCTGGGCTTCACCCAAGGTCTGCACCTCTCAGAGGGCCAAAACTACGACTGTGATTGATTTGTGTTGCCATGGCACCCAAGACCAGGACCCCACTGCGCTAGGTTCTGCACAATCACAGGTCAAAGAGAGTCTCTGTGCCGAAGAGCCGAGGTCTAAATAGAAGAGAAAAGACGCTCGCTGGCTAGAGAGTTCTAGATGGCAGGATACAAGAAAACAATGAGAAAATGGTCAGCTGTGGTCTCAGGGCACATTACCTGTTGTCTTGTTTTTCTGTAGGCTTGAGGCAAAGGAGAGTTTTGCAACAGGAATTGAGGTGGAGAATGAGGTAGCTTTGTGGGTGAATATGGAGAGAGGCTCCCGCGTATGGGGAGCAACACAGGAGAAAGCATGAAAGGACTTGTTTGGACACTGAACGTGAGCAATGGAGGCTGATACCCAGAGCCAATTGGAGGCAGGAGCTGACATTTCAGTAGTGAATAAAAGACGGTCAGTGGGGTTTAAGAATCTTTGAGGTGAAGAAGAATCGCTTTTGTACATTCAACAGAGAAGAGGGGAACCAGTGGAAGGATTCAAGGAGAGGATGATGTGCTCAAAGCAAGTGTCATGGCTCAGTCCCCCAACGTGACACACTGCTAGCGGAATAAACACTGCAAAATCTGTGTCTGTGATTCACAGAGAAAAACTTAGTCAATCTCAGTCCCCCTGAGATCCAAAAAAGACAAGGCTGGTTCTGCACTGCCACCGCCCAAGTGATTACAAGAAAATATTTAAAAAGAAAACCTTTTCCAGAGAGAGAGATCACTTGGGAACCTACACCCCTAAGGTAAAGCACTCTCCCTTGCCCTCTGTTTTGCTTAGAGTTGGGAAAACAGACAGAGGGAATCCATAGACAGCAATAGACTCTGCCCTTGTAACTAGGCCCTTAATCCTAACAACACACCAATCAACCAATACTGGTTAATCAGAATAAAAAGAAAACTCTTTTATTATCAAAACAAAACTACTGTTGCAAGCATAGTAAATTGGCTAAGCGGTAAATAGCCACAATTGACCTAGACTCAGGGAAAGTCATTGGGCTGTAATACTTAATTACGAAAGAGAAAAATAATTAGCCAGCTCAGACATGATTTCCAAACCCCCAAACAAGGAAAACAATAAACCCTGACAGACTATTTAAACTTTTCCTTAATTACACATTTCAAGAAGTCCGTTCTTGGAGAGAGAAGCATCTTCCATCTCCCTCAATACCTGGGAGAAACTACTCTGCTCTTAAACAAAGAAGAGAGAGAGAAAAACCTCTCTTTTCCTGTTTGAAATTCCTACCTGAATTTTTATTGGCTGATGGCTTGACCCCCTCCTCCCCCCAGCTGACACCTTTGCTAGGTACCTGAGTTAACCCTTTAGTCACCAGGTGCTCGTCAGCACTCCTGTTCATGACAGCAACCAACTAGGAGCTTTGCAGCAGCATTCTAACCAGATAGAAGCAAGGCAAGACTTCATGGCTGTGTCTAGACTGGCCAGTTTTTCCGGAAAATCAGCTGCTTTTCTGGAAAAACTTGCCAGATGTCTACACTGGCTGCTTGAATTTCCGCAAAAGCACTGACTTCCTACTGTAAGAAATCAGTGCTTCTTGCGGAAATACTATTCTGCTCCCGTTCAGGCAAAAGTCCCTTTTGCGCACAGCTTTTGCACAAAAGGGCCAATGTAGACAGCTCAGATTTGTTTTCTGCAAAAAAGCCCCGATAGTGAAAATGGCGATCGGGGCTTTTTTTCTTTTATAAAAATGTTATGGCGGGCCACAAAAAACTTTGATTGGGCTGCATCTATGCGGAAAATCAGTGTTACTATGGTCAATCTTTCAGAGTTCAAATTAGTGGGTCGAGAAAAGACCCGCTAAATTGAATTCAGAGGGCGCCCCTGTTGGCACTGGCACTTCTGCTCCTTGTGAGGAGTAAGGCAAGCTGATGGGAGCATTTGCTCCCATTGACCACCCGCTGTGGAAACTGCACAGAAACTCAACCCCAGTTACATAATTAACATAGATGAAGTTGTGTATGTTAATTCGACCTTCCCCTGTAGTGTAAACTGGCGTAAGTGCCACTACATAGGACAGAGAGCCACACTCAGTAGGTGTGTAGTTACAACCACA